TGTCTGTGTGTATAAAAAATATTTTATGTATATGTATATGTATATTCATATGTATATATCTATACATACATATACATATATATATTTATATATATATATATATATATATGTCTGTATGTCTGTATGTCTGTATGTATATATGTATATATGTATATGTATATGTATGTATAATATTGATATTTAGAAATGCATGGCTTCATCTTCGAGAAATTTATACGACTACTGGCAGGATCAACCAGGTAGCTATCTTAGATACAATCCATAAGGCCAGAATCTACTGTAAATCCTCAGTTCTACCACTGTGCGCAATTACATAGCGATTTCATTATAAATTTTATAATATCTCCTGAAAACATAGATTGCATATTCCACCACAAGGGTGGAGAGGTAATGTAGCAGAAATTACTATCATACAAAGCACCACGTACGACAAAATATATGGTAGTTGTCTACACCTGATATGTACACTCATCAAGAACAACATATACATATACATGAATATATATATAAATTATACATATATATATATATATATATATATATTCATGTATATGTATATGTATACGTACACGTACACGTGTATATACATGTATAAATACAAGCTTGTGCATATGTTTGAGCAAACCATAATATACGAAGTGTGGAGTAGGTATTCACCTAGCTGTGGATAATATTGGTTAGTCTCTTGTCAACATCTGCATATAATCGTCGTCAAAGCATGAATCCAAATGAACGTTTTGATGCTTTACTTTTAAACGGGCATCATATTGTATTTCAGTATTTATCTTCGCGAACCCCTTTTTTCAATTGAGGGCTGAGTCTGCGCATCACGTCCTGTAAATCATATGTCCCGGCTCGTTGAAGGTGAACATTGGGGATAGAAGTCTTTGAATAATTAAACCCCCGCCCTAAACACAGAACCTCACGTAATGCATATCATCTTACACACGCAGATGAATATATAAACATACACATGCACATTGATACACCCATCAGTATACATGCGGGTGTGTGGTATATGGACTCATAGCGTGGTGTGCACACACAGGTGGAAGTGCATGAGCTGGGTGCGTTCGATAGCTGTCACAAGAGCTATGTGTTCAGAGGCGACAGAGACGTCACACAGACGTCACTCGAGGAACGGTTGGGACTAGCGGGCACACAAGGCGGGAAAGTGGGCGAACAAAACCCACACCACGGATCAGGCAGGTAAGTTAGGCGTACGCACAGGTATATATATATTATATTATATATATATATATATATATATATCTATTTTTATGTTTATATTTATAAAAATCTATATAACTATATCTATATGTGTATGTCTATGTGTCTATGTGTCTATGTCTATGTGTGTCTGTGTAAGGCCTGTGTAAGGCCTGTGTGTTGTGTATCATGGGGCAAGTATACGTATTTAGGTGCGTTTTGAGAATCCTTGAGTGTGTGTTCATATATCATCAAGGTCCTTGTGTACATACTGTATTGGTTCGAGTATGAATGTACTAATAAGGTTCACTATTGAATGCCTATATTCGCACGTGTCACAGTTATCCCCCATCATGGATCAGACCGACAACCTATTCCTGTGTATATGTTCGCATGCGTATGTGTGTGTCTTTGTCTGACCTATTCCTGTGTATATGTACGTACGTGTATGTGTGTGTCTTTGTCTGACCTATTCCTGTGCATATGTA